GTTTATGCCAGAGCTGTTTAGAGTCACTGCTTTATCCTTTCCCTCACCCCCTTTTTCTGTAACCTGACATCCCATATGCAATCCTAGCTTGCATTCAGCTGATTTTCAGGCAGGTTAAATCATCAACTCCTGTCAAGTGTATTTTCCCTGCTACTTGTGGTCTCTCTTACATTAACTACTTTGCAGGCTGCATGTCTGTATGAAGTATGTGTTTGGGATTTTTTTCCAAACCTTACTGGTTTTTATTTTGCTGTTAGCAGTGCTAACCTCTCTACAATACACGTGTATTTTTGAGTACCTCATCGTTTGATGGTGTTTCAATGTTGATTGTAATGATGGTTTCCACATTAAAGAAATTCCCCAAAGAACACCACATACCATGGCTGGAATGAAAGTGCAAGGGCATGATTAGATGTTCTTTCCCCTGTGACTGCTGGAAATTTGTGAAAGCATAGGCAAAATGTGATACAGCCTAGGTGTTGCTGCCAAGAATTGTAGTGATTATATCCTGCTGAGCAGAAACACTATCTTCCCTAAAAGGCGAAGATAGAGCAGAGTAGAGCAGTAGGTGGTGAGGTACAGATACCACAAATTGTAAATTCTTGTCTGTGGTCTTTAGCTCAGAATCTTGTACATTGTGGAGAATTCAGCTTTTTAGCTGTGTTTCTAGTGCATTTCTGCAAGGCACAGCCTTTCTGTATAAATCATTCCTTAAAATTAGGGCCTTATTCCATGGTTGCAGCCTTCTGTAGCTTTTCCTGCGTGACAGCCACCATCCCTGTCGTGTTTCACCTGCAAAAGCATAAATGATCTTTTGAGATTGTCTCAATTATGGGAACTGTTCTGACCTGAAACTGATGTTAGGAAGAAATCTGTGTGGGGAGGAAGCGATGGGTTAATTGTTTTTCCTTACCCAGGATGGGGAGCAGTTACAGAGCTCCTCAGTGGCTGCTGCTCTGCCTGTGCAGATTAAACCTTTTCCCATCGCAGGTGACCCATAGGCAGGAGGCATCTCCATGACAAGAGTGCATTTGGCCTTGCTGCTGCTACATCCACCTCTTCTTTCTCCCACATTATCCATTCAGTGATGTCCCTGAGGCACAGCCTGAGCGGTCACCCGTATTTGTTTCCTCATCTGTCAGTCAAAAACGGAATTCTTAGCTCCTGCTAACATTGCTTGTGTTGATTCTTTGCGTTGGATTAGCTGTAGATGCAAGGAACTATCTTTCTGTTGAGTAATGCCTGTTAAATGCAGCAAGAGAGGAATGATCCCTATGGACAGGAGTTTATGATAGCATAGGGCAGTGTAAGCAGTTGTCCAGAAGGAATCACTCACCTGACATAATTCTTGGTGCTCTGCTAGTTGTTAGTAATGGACTGAAAATTTACAGTAGTAGTATGGACAGCACTAAATTATTTAAGCTGCATCTTTCATGAAAAAAACTCCATTCCATTGGTTTTTGGTGTTTTGTTTTTTTTGTTTTTAGATTAAGTATTATATTGACATTTTTGGACTTCACCTTTACTTTGTGATGTAGTAAATGACATCATTTGACACGATACAGTATGTTACACATGGAATGCTGAGCTGCTCTGTGTGCTGAGACCCTGATCTGCTTCAGGCAGAAATTTCAGGCATGTTTGAGAAGATAATTTTAATTAGCACAATTAAAAACCCAGCTGTGTTTGACCTAAGTTATCTAAATATTGTTAAACTCTGTCCACAGAAAAATTGTTTTTCCACTGATAATAAGCGTGAAACTATCAGTCAGCAATGTCTGTTCCAGCAGCAAGTATTTGCATCTGGGTTAGTACAGCAAAGATTTCTTATTTTATTTTTTTTTCCTCAGCAGCTGACTTTGCCTCAACAGTGACTTGAAGGTTTGCCAAGCCTCTGTCACAAAACAAGCTAGTGAGGACCTTTGGATGTCACTGTGCAAAGGATACTGTTCTAACTGAACACATGTTCTCAGGACAAGGCTGATACTCTCAGAAGAGGTGCCAGGTGACAAAAATAGTTGTATTTTGTAGGACAGATAGAAAAGAATGCTGTGTCTTTCCAGATGGTATTTTGTTTTGTAGCTGCAGATGATTCAAGTTAAGGGCTTGGAGTTGTGGATGGCTTTCTAAATATGACTCCTGGAAGTGTATCTGGTCTCACTCTTTGGTTTGATATCCTTAGGAGACAAGATACTCAAACGTAAGCGGACTGCCTGTGTGTTACCACACAATTCAAAGCAGCTAGAAAGCTGTTTGTAGTAGTCAACACCATGTGCTCCTAAATGAGTGAAGTGTCTTGTTATTTTGGGAAGTGCTAAGAAGTATTTTTAGTATATTCTTTTTCTTTTTTTTTTTAATTGGATGAAACATGATATCAGAATCAAACATTTTTGTTTTCATTTGTTCAGAGTGAAAAATAGAAGCACACAATTTTAATACACAGTAACATTTTATTTGCTGTTACATATGTGTATACAGCGTGTGTATATATACTCAATAGGATTGGGTATATTCCAAAGTTTAAGCATCTCGGTGAGTAATCAATGGAGGCTTTATGTTTTAGATTTAATAAAAGCCCCAAATGAACACACTGTTGTTGGGATATAATTCACAAAATATCACTCTGTTCTTAACTTTGCAAAACTCATTGCATTGCTTTTCAGCAGTTGCAGTATTTGATTTGAATACTTTCTTATTGTACTAAATTTGAAGGGGTTTTTTCTGACTTCAGTGCAAATCAATGTTTGCAGAGGTGCTAGATTGAAATAAAGCGTTTGCATTGAAGAATTCTCTTAAAGAAACCACCAGTGACTTCCAGAATGTCTTCATTCTTAAATAGGTTTGTATTTAGATTGCTGTCTTTAATCTCTTCATCTTTATAGTTCAGTTTTAAAGACAAAATTAATCGTGCTCAAGAAATTGATTTGGCTTTATAAAGCCATATATTTCCTGTTCATCATGTCAAATGCTTGTGAGTTTTGTCTTGAGGAGAGAAAGAAATTCTGGCTCTGAAAAGTAAAGATCGAATCCCAGCTGCAATGAGGACTGTTTCTTTCTTCTGACTGTAGTGTCATGGTGTTAAGGTGGATGTAGGAAAGCATTCATCAGTACTATAGTGGGAAAAGCAAAGGAAAAAAATTCATAACATGAAGTCCAGTGATGGTTCCTGATGTTGTCACTTTGTACTGCATGACATGGCATGGGTCACTGAGAGACTTTAACTGGAGTAGGTTTGTGCTGGTGCCTCTCAATTCAGCCAGTCATATGTGTAACTAATACAGAGGAGTATGTCAGAATCCCAAGGTATTCTGTGAGCACCAAAGATGACTTTGAAGTGATGTGGTCTGGATGGAGCAACCCAGGCAAAATAACCTTTAGATTCCGTAAGCTGTAAGACTCTACATATGTGTTACTTACAGGAAGAATCATGACTAGGTGTCTTTCCTGAGTTTAGTAGATCACTGCCCAAACAAAAAAAAAATATTATATCACCAGTTCAGATTTTGTTTTTAATTGGTGTGCAGTATTTAATGTATAGAACTGTTGATGGTTTTTATGGTTGGTTTTTGTTTGTTTGTTTTAGTAATTCATAACTGATCTTACTATTGAAGCTATCCAGTTTGTTAAGCAAAAGAAATATTCCCTCAAGCAGATAAATTGGACCTGGGGGGTTGGAGGGTGCAGTGGGGGTGTAGCAGTCTTGAAAGATTTTTAGAAATGGTAAGTCTTGTCATCTTACCTGGTTTTAGGTTATAAATTAAAAGAGAATAAATGTGCACAAACACATCAGTGAGCAAGCTAGGGATTGAACTGAACTAAACTGAATGGGAAGAAATACTTTTTAAAGTTACAGAAGAGGTTATAGTTGTGAGGAATTGGCTCCAGACTTTAGTACCTCATGGTATTGGGGTTTAAGCAATGAATTCTTTCCATTCAGTGTTATAATTCACAGTAAAACTTTGACCAAAAGCATGGAGTGCTTGGCAATTGTTTAACTTACGTCTTGATCCTAATACAGTTTGTTGTAATTTCAGATGAAATTTAAAACATTGTGGCGCTATAAAAGAAAAAAGAGTTTAAAGTACTTGTTTGTTTTTCTTAAATAGCCATGTTTTCACTTTTTTTCCTTCTACTCTTTTTCAAAAACATACACCGCATTGTCCAGGATGCCTCTCAGAAAATAAAGAGAGTTACCTTTTTTCAGTGATTCAAAAAAAACTGGTGAAAGATTGAATGATACTTCATGGCAGCTGATGCTGGGACCCCTCAGTTTGATCTCAGAAGCTCTAGCTTAAGCCTTCCCTTACCTGAATTCCTGATGCAAATATTTGTAATAAATGCTTTCTTGATAAAATGTCCCAGTTTTTTTACTTTTCTTCCAAACCATGATGTTGTTGGTCCATATTCAGTTCAGCTGCTGCCCTCAGTTTGTTGCGACACATGTAGCCTGGCTTTTGTGAAAATTAATAGAAAGCCTGGAACCTGTTACTTGTGAAAGTTTTGTTCTCTTACAATTTAGCCAGAATTATATTCCCATATTCTGTATTTTAAGTGCACACACGTGAAGGGAAACTTTTCTTTCTCTGTAGAGCAACTGTCAGAGGTGGGAGTTGAACGGGGCAGTGGCAGCTGTTACCTGCCGTTACCTGCGGGTCTGAACTTACCCAGCCCCGTCCTTTGGAGTGCTACAAGGATTGCAGCAGGATATGAACACTTAGCGGTCTTCCCCTTGATGAGGTGGTTAATTCTAAGTGAGCTTTTCATTCCAAACTGCTTTCAGAGCTATAAATTTTTTTAGTAGGGAAATGATGAAATCAGTAACACTGGGCTGAAGTTTGTTTCCAGAAATTTGTTTAGAAATCCAGTTGTTTTGTACAAAGCAAATCTGAATCAAACTGAAAAGCAGTCCTTAGAGCAAACCGTTTTGTAAATGCTGTAATATGTAGCACATTATTTACTTTCACTGTTTTGGGGCCTAATCCTACAATTATTTTATGCAGGTTTCACCTGGAACATCTCGTTCAAATTACCCAGCTACAAGCTATCAGGACTCCAGCAATTGGGAATCTCTAATGAAAATCAAAGAAGGGCTGCTGAGACAGAAGGAGTTTGTGATTGATAGGTAAGTACCCAGCTCCTCCTGCATTAATTAGATTAGATGAAGTAAAACCTACAGTGTAGAAGCTGGTTTTCAAGGAGAACTACTTACTTAGTAAAGTTGCTAGGTTTCAGTCCAGCCACTATTTATGCACAAGTATGTAGGAGCTAGTCCTGCTAGGAGAGAAGACTGGCAGCTGGCCTGAAGTCTTACACAAAGTTGGAAATGTATTTCGGAGGTTTAATGCCTCTGGAGTGGAAAAGGAGCAGTGAGCCCAGCAGCACTTCTGCTGTCAGGTTCCCCTCTTAGCTTCTTACCAGGCTACAGGTTTGTAAAGGACATATTTCTGCTTGCAAGGTCTTGGAAGTGACTTCCAAGATGAAAATTGGTCAACTGCATTGTGCTGATTTTCCTTTCCATCACAAGTACAGAATTGCAATATATTTGAAGCCAGTTGATAAAGCTTTGAGAAACTGGCCTTTGTAGTAATATTCAGCAGTACAATCCTCAAGTCCTCATACAAATTGTTCCAATAAAAAAAAAAATTAACTCATTACATCCAGAGTCTTTATGTCAATAAATATATAGCCTCGTACTAAAATTGCTGTCAATATGAATGGACCTCAATAGCAACTCACTGCCCAACTCACAATTTCTAGTACCAGGAGGTACTGGATCTTGCTTGTGCAAGATCTGTTCATTCCTCTCCTGCAACAGAATGAGGAATTGCAGTGGCTGAAGGTGTTTCTGTCCCTCAACACTCAGTAGCTGTGGTGGCTTTTCAGCGATGGAAGTTGGCACTGGGTTCCCCAGTTGGATGTAGGATGTTAGTGTGTGTTTGCCGCCTGCTGCAGCAAAGATGGGACAGTTAGGAACAGAGGCATGGGCTCACCATCCCCCTCTGCCAGCTCTCCTGTGGAGGTGGTGATCTCCCAAAGGAGTAAGAAGCTAAAATGGAAAAAATCTTTAGCGGTTGTTTACATCTCCTCTCTCAGAGCCTTTTGGTCAGCTGCTTAAAGGCCATCTAAATGACAATGTTTTTTTTTCAGGCTTGCTATGTCAGTAGTAATGCTGCAGTAGCAAACCTACAGCCCACCTCCAGGGGCCCAGGCTGTCAGCAGTGTTTGTGAGTGCATTGCTCATGATAGCTGGGGTGGTCTTCAGTGCCTGTGCTGGGCTTGCCATCCTGAGCACTCTGCATGAAGTCTGGTTACACGCTGGCAGCTAAAAATGCAGTTGGTGTTGCTCTTCTCATGCTGAAAGTGTGTTTACAGTTCAGGGAGAAGTTTCTGCAGTGACTGTTTGCAACCTGGCTGCCTGCTCGTGTTACTTGATACTGTCCCTGTGGAGGAAGAAAAGCTATTTCTTGACACCCAGTGACAGTGTGCTGGTCCTTTTCTTGTACAAGTAATTTCTTTTGTGTGACTTTCTGATAATGAATACAGGATTTCTCTATAATCTTTCAGGATTTCTCACCAGAAGTCCATTTAGATAATTTCTTTTCATTCAGCTGAAAAGGCAGAATACAGTTTTGAAGCTATTGAAATGGAACAGACCACTCAGTGATCTTACATATTCAAGTAGATACTTGGTGTTAAATATTGTAATTTTTAATAATGCAGTGTAACAATACATCACAGAACAGCCTCTTCTTCGAATATTGAATTTCCATTTGAGCAAAATATTAGCCTGAAAAGGTATTTTAAAATGAAATAGAAACATCAGTGGATTTGTATTTTCAAGATTAGTACAAACTGATGTTGCATATTTACAAAGTTTTAGCAACAGATTGTTTATTTTAATTTTTTTTTTAAGAAGAGGTAGTGCTAAATAAAAGTACTTTTGGTTTCACCCATGAAGAAAATGGTACATATCTGATGTGCAAAAACCTTGAAATAGAACTCCATTAAAAAGCATTAGTGTTACATTTCTCATTAGATGGGGTGTTAATAAGGCTTAAGTGTGAAAACTACCTTTCTTCAAGGCACAAAGCAGCACTAAATGAAAATGTGGTGTTACACCACATTTAGCACATGGGAACACAGGGTCTTCTTGCACTGAGCTCGGAATGGTGTTTGGAAGTAATCCTAAGTATTCCAGCTCTTGGTCTTCCTGAGCTTAATTTAAACTTCTTTTCAGTGTTTAAATTTCTTTGGAAATAGTGACCTAAAATTAAAAACATAAAGTTTGCTAAAGTGTAGTTAATTGAACATGATGGTAGCTAAATTACAGAATAAAATTTATGCTTAGGGGAAATGGAGAAGAAAGTAATTTGTTGAATGAGGTTAGGTCGGAGGTTTTTGCTGAGAGGGCTCTTTGTGCCTGTGGTTTTCCTGGAGTTATGAAAAGTGTAGTCTCCTTAAGTCGTATGCTGAATTTACAAACTGGTAGTTGAGGGGGCAGAAGCTCAGGAGAGAGGTGTTAACCTCCTGCTGCCTGGTAGCCAGAGGAGTGGGACAGCAGCTGGCATGGTGCCCCAGACCCAGCTGTTTGCTGCTGGCAAGTACAAGGAACAGCTGGGTGGAAAGAGGCACACCAGGAGCACCTCCCTCTGGCCCTTGTCACAAGCCTCCCTTTCACCCACAGGGTCAGTAACCCTTTTTTTTAAGGTTAAATACTCTTTTGTTGGGAACTGTACTGGTGTCCCACTTATTGAGGAAGTGGAGGAGATTAACATCACACACCTTGTTCTTCATAGCAGTGCTTAAATCTGTTGGTAAGAAGGAAATGGATGCACTGTACAGGCTGTTGTACCTTGGTCTTGTTAAAAAAGGGAGGAGGAGCAGAAGAAGGAAAGTGAAACATGCTTCCTTGCTTACCTTCTTTCCACACAAAGATAAAAAGGCAAAAAAATTCAGCCCTTTCAGACTAGATTATTAAATTTCCTTGTTTTGTATTGGAAATCTACCAGATAGGAATAGTTACAAAAAACAATTCAAGGAGTAATGCCTAACAGTGTGAATCATAATATTTGGATCCTTTGTTGTGTCACTAGAAATGCAAGCATTTTTAAGTTTTTGAAATCCCAAAGAGCCACTTCAGCCTGAGAATACAACAAGTACTTTGATTTTGATCTGTATGCTGTGTTGAACGGCAGATTTAGTAATAGATAAATTAAACTGATGTATATTGTGTAGTCCGTTTAGCACTTATTTAAGTAATAATAAATTAATGGGTTTTAAAGTGGTTTTGGTTTGCTTTTTAAAACTACTCTATCAGTCACTGCTAATTTAATAAGTAGAAACCAGAACTGCTTTTTAAGTCTAGTCTTAAGAAAATGAGGGGAAGATTCTGCTTTCAGGCAGTGGGAACACAGTGCAAGAAAGCAAGCCTGCTCTCTGTGTGTGTGCCAGAACACAGTGGCATTTCTTTAAGATGTGTCTCATGTTTTTTTTACATAAAAAAAACAGGCCATGAATTGCACAGGCCATGAATGAGGACTTAAGGATTTAGTCTGTAAGAGGAAATTTCCTGCTGCAACACTTATTACTGTAATGTCTGTCACCTGCTGTACAAAATAATTGGATTATATAGTTGCCTTATTTCTCTGGCTGCTTAGTATGTAACACTGCATTATATTTAGCACCAGAGGGAGCCAGCAGTGTTTGCATTGGTTTAGAAAATCACAGCATCACATTTTAATTCTTCATGTTGCTCCTCTGTTCAGTGTATTAACACCACTGAAATTGCAGTGTTCAGTGCAATGCTGAATGTCTCTTGAGGCTGACCTGCCACTGTAGATATCTCTAGTGTGGTTCTGGCAGATTTTGTGTGGCAGGGGCTGCATGAATAAATGCCAAATATCTGGACATATTACATAAGCTGCTGAGAATAGCGCTGTGCATGCAGTGTTCTCTTGCAGACAGCATAAGAGCATTTGAGCAGCTTTTTCAGGAAAGGTAGGTTTGGAAGTACAATTTTAGTGAATAACTGTTATCCCTCAGAGTGTAACAACATACACATTCTTAAAACCTTGCTAAATCATTAACTTCTAAATCCAAATCTGAATTAGGATTAGAAGTTTTCACTGAGACAAGAGACGTAGATTTTCTTTGTCTTGTATCATATTGTCCTGACTAAGTCACTTGTTAAGATCTGCAGCATTAGCATAACCACCTGAGTGATAATTTGATGCCATTTTTGAGAAACCTGAAGCTTCATACCACCCATGTGGTGAATGCATGTTTGTATAACAGGGAGTCCTGTGCAGGGAGTGGGGCTGTAAGGAACCTCCTCAGAGTGCTTTCCTGTGTAAGATACACTTTACTTCCAATAAAAGTGTGAAAAAGATGCCTTCATCTTTTTCCAGTATGACCAATCACCCAGGTGACTTGTGGATGAGACTTCTGTATGTGTTGAGCTGGTAAATGTTCAGGAAGGTTTTGTTACAGAGTAGTTATTTTAGCTGTTTTAAAAGGTCACTTTTCCAGATGTGAATGCTAGTTACATTGATGAAATTAGTTTTCATCTAATAACCTAAATCTTAGCAATAAATAAAGGATGTAGGGCTAGAAAGAACCTATTTAACCTGACTACCAGGCTAGGCAAGCAGTAGTGCTGTCACTAGGTGCTTACACTATTGTATGTGTAATACCAGGTGTTCTGTAGCCTTTCTCGGTTGGTCCGTTTGGTGATTAATTGTCTCAGACATTCGAAAATTTTTCCTGATATGACTTAGTCTTTCCTCCTGGGTAATGTTTTTTAGTAATCAAGGAGTTTTTGTTATTCTTCGAGATCTCTCCAGCTGATGAGCACGTCTCCCCTGAGGTCCAAACTGGCCATTGAGGCTTCCCTCAGGCTGAGTGCTTGTCTCTCACCAGCCGTGGTTGAGTGGTGTTTACTTTTTGCAGTACAGCATTGGGGAGTTTTGGTCAGATGCTGTCCCAGATACTTCTCTGTGGAACTGGTGCTAAACCACTTTGTATTCCATAGATTTAAATATTTGTATGAAGTTCTTGTATTTGGCAGAGAACTACAGGGGAGGTGCAAGAGTTGCTCTGTGTTTGTCCTGGCAGGAGACTACA